CTTGGTTGGATGGTTAGAGATGTAGACAGAGGGACAGGGGTGGATTTGGGAAATTTGGGGCCCTAGGCAAAGACAGGCAGGGGGCCCTCTGAATTAAGAGGAGGACTTATCCATGGCTTCATTACATCCCGGTTGGATTACTGCAATTCATTATATAGAGGCATGGATAAATCACAGATGCAGCGACCCGGCTTCTTACTGGAACCAGGAAGCTGACCATATAAGGCCTATACTGGCCTCTTTACATTAGCTGCCTGTCTTTTACCCAATAGATTTTAAGATTCTCTTATTAACTTAGAAAGTCTTAAACAGTTTAGCTTCTTCTTATCTTAGAGACCTTTAAAATTCCAGTCTGTGTGAAGAAGTCTACGCTCTAATAATCAGCTGTTACTGAAAGTTCCTCGGACTCGACTTATGAGGAAAGGAGATGGGGCCTTCTCTGTTTTTGCTCCCATTCTGTGGAACCAATTACCTCTTCAAATTAAATCCGCCCACAGCCTGGATCATTTTAAATCCCTTCTTAAAACTTATTTATATATATAAATAAATTTGACATTGACATCGACAAGTGTGAATGAGACACACTTAATATTATCATCGTTCTGATGGCATTTTAGAGAAAGGATCTTTATCGAAAACATAATTAATGTGCACAAAAAAGGAATAGTTGTACTAAACATACATGGAAACAGAGTTTTTTGGGGCCCCCAGGAACTTGGGGCCCTAGGAAACTCCTTAGTATTGCCTAATGGAACCTAAGGACGACTGCGTGACCTGATGCAGTTCAGCGGATTCTAGCTGCTGGGGGATTATGTAAGAATCAGCCAAAACTGATCTGGTGTTTTTTTGGTGTTGAGGCGGTGAAATGAAAGACTCTGATTAGAATAAACACTAAATGGCAAAGGAGAGAATGACACTGAATGCTGATGAGTTTATTAGAAGGTAATGAAAAGCAGCTGAAGTAGAAGAAGAACAGGGAGACTGAGGGAGGAGAATAATTAACATGAATGGAGAAACACGGAAACTATTAAACTGATGGAGAAATCTAAGAGAAATAAAATCTAAATTGAAAAGAACAAAAAACAACAATAAGAATAAAACCAAACAAAACAGGAAGAAGCCAAAAAGGCAACAGATCACAGATCATCAATGGCAGGAGCTACTTTCTGAACGTTACAGATTTTCACTTTCACAGAATGAATAAGTTGATCTTTTTTTCACTTTGTTTGATTTATTTGGCAGCCATGTTGGATTTCTGAAGAACACGCTGACCTCCCAGCTCAGAGTCTTCCTCCAGATTTTTGTTTCCTTTAATGATGATATTTTCCCCTTTACACTAATAGTTGCTTGTAACAGTTGCAGTTGACTTAAGTGTTTCTATCACTGCAATCAGTCTGAATATTACAAATATGACTGAATTCTTCAGATTCTAAGGAAAGCAGCATCATTAAAAGCTTTTAAAATTAATAATCTAATTATTGTTAAGGAAACTCTATAAGTTTGGGCTAAAGGACACTTCTAACTGGCTTTAAACCCGGCTGTGGGCTTAGTGAGAAATGTTTGGTTTGCGGGGGGGGCACTCTGGACGCAGCTGCTGGAGGATCCCTGAAGTCATCCTCTAATTTTATGGCCGCCTCATTTATTAAGAGGGATCAAGATGAAATCCAAAGTAAATCCTCCAGACAGGCGTTATTTTAAGTTTAGCTCTAATGCTTTTGCTCTTTAACATTTACGAGGTAAACTAAAACTTTTGCACATTTACAGCCTTCATCTTACATAAAGTCAACTGGTAAAACAAGAGTTTAATTATAAAGCTCTGTTAGTTGTTTTTCATCACCGTCGGATGAGTCAGACCCAAACCTTTGCTGGCGGAACTGGATCCGTACTGGATTTAGTACCCTTCCACTAACAGTTGAGGACTGGGGAGTCCCTTCATGCTGGCTGGGCATCTCTTATGTTCCAGCTGCCAATTCAGAGTCTGATATGAGGAAGCAAGCATCAACCTTGCTGAGTGTTTCTCTGGACATCAGCCTCTAAGCAAACAGATTGTTGTTACTTCTCTAGTGCCAGTTCCTTAAACCAACAGTTCCCACAGAAACATAAATGCATCTGAAC